TTGGCCTTTCTTCTCCCCTTTTTCCCTTCTTTTTTTTTCATGCGGTTACTCCTATTATTCAGTTAATTGTATCCTTTTAGAATTGCATTCGGGATCAAGTTGATCCCATGCGAATTGTTTTCTTTTGGTGATCACTTTCTAATTTAAGTGCAGTATTTCCCTCTGCTGCTGCAGTTACATTTTTCTAGGTGCCTTGTTTTGAGGTTTGTTGTTAAGACTTTGAATAAATGCTTATGCACCCTGGTTTCTCCTCTTAATTTAGGGAAAATTTTCCTGTAATGAGACCATCAGAGACTGAGAGAGATGGCTCGACCCCTGGTCCTCTGCCTCCAAAGAGAAGAAAAGTAAATGAGGGAACTTCAATCAAAGAAGTATTTTTTTTCATCGACTTTCAATTTTGAGAAAGAAAGATCATCTTTAAGCTTGAAAAATGGTGAGATATGGGCAGTAAGAGATGAGTACGGAATACCATGCCACTGTGTGCTAATTGAAAAGGAAAGCGTCAATTCAGCGTCTGTTAGATTTCTGAAGCACGAAAACTACGACAGTGCCTCAGATTCCTACTTTCAGTATTACAATCACATTCGTCCATGTGGGAGTTTTATCATTAATGATGATCCTGAACCTATTGAACCGCCAGTTTTCTAAGTTAGATTTTGTTTCATATAACTATAATGAAAAGGTTTTTTAAGAGATTTACTTTGGAATTATACATAAAAATATTTTCCTGAGTCAAAACTAGCTTCAATTAGATTGTTTAAATATATCGAGTAAATTAATTATATATTAACTTTTTTAAATTGACAAGTTGATTGAATTTTGTGGGTGTATTCGCTGCAAACTCTCACGATACTACAACTTGTCCTCTAGGGCAACCTAGGAGTTTAAAGGCTTATTATATATGCTAAATACAACCGCGATACCTACAAAAGTGAGTTAGGATTTTTATTTTTTTATTTTTCTCTGTTTTTCTTTGCTAGAGGACTAGCAAAATTTTAGGTATGGGCGTATTTGATCATCATATTTCATTACACTTTGATATTATTATTATATATTTTATTTGAATAAATATATCACTAATAACGTGTTTTTTGCTTAATTTGCAGGAAAAGAAGAATTGATGAATAAGAGTCTAAAAGAATCAAATTCTCTTATTTTCCTACCACTTATTGAAGCCTAATATGAAGCTAAGAGTAGGCCGGCAAAAGTCCAAGGAATCAAGGAAAATTAAGCCAACTAATCAACCAATGATATAATTCTGTTAGGAACCAATTGGTTCACCAACTGATTGACTAATCAGTCGATCAACCGATTGGCCAACCAATTAGCTGACTGATTGGTTCATAACAGAAATAGTAAACAACTACGATTTATTTTTGGAGTCCAAGACTAATCCAAGAGTTCTTGTTGATTATTGTAGGCTATAAATAGGGAGAAAGGGTGAGGAATTTGAATGTTAAAAATTTTATAAACTCCTTTTTAGTGAGGAGGACCTTTAATTAGGTCTTCCAATTTGTAAAGTTTTTTTAAGTTTACAATAAATAATTTTTTTTCTTTTTTAATTTTATTTCTTATTCCTTATTGATGAAGATGAAGATTTGCTTTCAAGGAGTCAATCCCTTACAAGCTAAGTTTTCATTTTTCTCTTTTATTTTCTTGTTTGGAAATTTATGTTTTAAGATTTTATTTTCTTTTTATGCTAGTAGATTAGATTTATTTCATGCATTGTAGCGTAGATTTATTTTTCATGCTCTTTTATTTATGTTGTTTATTTTTATGCTTTGTAGAATTTATTTTCTTGCATTTTTAGTATAGATTTACCTTTATCCTTTTTTATTTTTGTTAGTAAGATTTTCTTTATGCTCATAGTTTAGATATTTATTTCCTTATTCTTATTCTTATTTTTGTAGTTAGTTTTTATTTTAGATCCCCTTCTTCTATGCTCTCTAGTCTAGATTTTATTTCTTTATTTTTATTTTATAGGAATTCTAGAATTGCATGAAACTAGTTTGATTTATTTTATGATTTGTGGATTGCTCTCTTTTGTGCTCAAAATGATTATGCTTAGGATAATCAACCAGATCGAACTGATTGGTAGAAGAAAAATTTGATGATTTATGCTTATATTGAGTGATTTGATAGGTTATACTTATGAATTCTAGAATTATTATCGAGTTGTTTGTTCTTTTCATGAAAGATGATATTTCTCCAATGATAAATTAATAGGTTATGCTTTCCTTAAGGGGTTTGATAGTCTATACTGAGTAAATCTAAAAAATGTGATAAAAAGATAGTAGTTTACAAATCTTAAAAGAGAGTAGTTAAATCCTAAAAAGAGAGTAGTTCATAAATCCTAAATGAAAGTAACTAATGGATTCAATTCTAGATTCCTATCTTCTTTACTTGATTTACTCTATCTTTTACTTGTTTTGATTTTTTATTATTATTTTTTTCTGTTCTTGATTTTGTTCTTCTCTATTTTCTTTATTTGTCCTCCTTGTTTATTTTTTGTGCCCTTTTAATTTGTTCACTCTCTTTCTCTCATCTTGTTCTAATTTACTTTTTTATGTAAATAATCACACACTTTTCATATCTCTTCACTTTCACTCGTATTTGTTCACACACAATTTTAGGATTCAAATTTAGATTTTTCCTACATACCTTTCTTGTGGGTTTGACATTGTACTATACTATAACTTAATTATGCACTTACAATCTTGACATTATTTTTACAACACATCAATTACAGTATCATCCTAACTTCAAAACAAGGTAAAAACATAGTTATTCGATCCAGAGTTAACGTTTAATAATTTTTAAAAAGTTATTTAGAAATAGATTTTTACTAAAATTTTCATTATATCTATGGTTAGGGCTAGTGTTTGCATGTTTCTATGGTTGGGTTTGGTTTGGGTTGGGCTTCGCTTTGTGGTTTATTGCCAGTGCTTCTAATTTAATGTGTTTAAAAGAAAATTTAAGCTAAATCATACTCCCTTTAAAAGCACGAGTTCAAAAAAATCTTTCGGTAGACAAAAGTATCATTGGAATTCAAATATTATTTCATTAATTAAGAGTAAGTTGATAAATTGATGAATTCTTATTAGATATGCATAGTATGAAGATGAGGATACAGTTTAAATTGAAATGTAAATCTAATAAAAAAGTTATTAAATGCCAAATTTGTAAATGTCTACAAAATAAAGGGTGTATATACAAAAACCAAGTAAATTAATGAGACAAATAATTGTCTACCCTAAAGGTCGAACCTAGGAACAAGGTAGACCTACAAATATACATAATGTGAATGATATATTTACAAAATTCACCAAACAAATTAAAGAAAGAAAAGTCACTCTTAAAATTATAAAAAAAAATTAAGTAAAATAAAAATCATACTCCCTTTAAAAGCACGAGTTCGGGAAAAGCTTTCAATAGTCAAAATTATCATGTACTATTTTAAATATTTAATTTAAATTATAATCTATCCTAATCATATTTGTATCCTATCCTAATACCCTATAAAATCCTAATACCCTATAAACTATCTATAGCTCAACAATTTAAATAAAATTAATAAAATATATGAAACAGCTCCGTAGTATCAGTTTATTACATAAAGTATTATAAAAAAGTAAAAAGTTTTAAAAATTAGACAAAATACTCTCAAAAGTTTAAAATTATAAAAAATAAAAAGCTAAAAATTTAGAACTTGGCAAATAAAAGAGTAATTGCATGATATTCTTTTATTAAGATATATAAATATAACTTATAATTTAAGGTTTACTATCCCTTTTCAGAATCTGAAAATAGTCAAGTTGATACTGGCAGAAAAATAGTAATAATAACATATTAAAATATCCAGTTAAAGAATAAAAATTTTAAAATATATATGATAGATTAAAAATTAATATTATTGTATAAATTAAAGTAACTGCATATAATTTTATCAATATGTTAGAGCAAAAAAATACATATGTATCATTAATTGATAGAAGACTAAATTGCAAAAAACTGATAAAAGACTATAATATAATATTTTAATATTAATTGATTATAATTTATATATATTGATCTCTAATGGTAATAATAAGTATCTAACATACTATAATACATGACTTACTGTTAAAAAAACTAAAAAGTTTCAAAAATTACACAAAACACCCTCAATAGTTCAAAATTACATAAAACATCTTGACTTTTCAAAAATTAAAACAACGAACATAAAATCTAAAACTTAGTAGTAGCCCCCTAAAATTTAAAATTTACAATTAACACCCTCAATTTTAAAATTTATAGAAAGACCCTTAAAGTTCAAAATTACAAAAAAAATCATAAAATTTGAAAAATATATTGATAGATTAAAATTTAATATATTGATAGAATGAAAGACAGTGATATAATAGCTTAACATGAATTGATTATATTTTATAAACATTATTCTGTGATGTTAGTAATATTCATAGGGTAAAATTTTTTTAGGTATAGCTCATTCAAACAAATATTAAAGAAGATAAATAATCACATTATTAAATTTTAGAGGCTAAGTGAGTAAAACCTATCAAATTGAAATCAAAAAATAAATTTTAGTAAGAAAATAAACTAAAAGTAAATAATTATAATATTTAACCACGTGCAATACACGTACAAAAAAACTAGTACTATTTTTTTTGAGAGAAAACAAGGGATATACCCTGTCATTTGTATTAATCAAAAGTATAGATACAAAAAAAGGATACGAACTGTATCCAAGTATTGGAAGATAGAAAAGATAGTTTCTCAATACTAGTGATATATGACTTTCTTCTATCAAACATCCATGAAGGTGAAGAGAGGGCCTTGCCGTCATTCACCGTTGACATGGATATAAGAGAGAACCAAAGCCAGCCATATATATAGTAATAAGAAACTAAACTTTTTATAGCCCAATAAAAAACAAAAACTAAGATTACAAAAGTGATTTATATACTGTTAAAAACCAAAAGAGACATTCACAATCCCATCTATGTGCTCATTTGAATCGGCTTTTCTTCCAACTTTGCTTTAACCTTGCATGTTGCTGCTCCATTTCCATAACATGTCCAATCATGTAATGACGATATTGCATAGTTAATAATGGACTTGATAGAAAACTGTTTTTGATCAAAAATAGAATTATGTCTTGATCTCCATAGACTCCAGCAAACAGATGCAAATATACTGCGCCGCATATGACCTTTCCACCCAAGAACTGATTCTAAGGTAAGCAATAGGTCAGCCCATTTTGCCGGCCAAGTGAAAGGAAGATTGTAGTTTATGAAATGCTGCCATACTACTTTCGTAACTGGACATGAGAAGAACAAGTGCTCTATAGATTCCAGTTCTAATTCGCAGAAGGAACATGTAGTGTCACCTTGCCATCCTTTGGAAAAAAGAACCTCCTTTGTGTGCAGTTTGTTCTTAGAAAGTAACCAAAGGAAAATACGAACTTTTGATAGAACAAGGGGATTCCAGATAACTTTGTATATAGGACTAGGGACACCTCTCTCATTAAGAAAATTATAAAGAGAGTTGATAGAGAACTGTTTATTTGTAGTTAGAGACCATTCTGCATGATCAAAGTTATTTGAAGGATGTGAATCTTTAATAAGATTCAAAAGATCGGTTTTCTCAGATTTCTCACAAGGGAGGATACTTCTTCTCATCAATAAATGCCAATTCCAGATTTGATGGTTGAAAAAACCTTGACTTTTGACGGAAGCATTAGAAGAAAGAACTTGTATGACTGTGGAAATAGATTTGCTAGACTGTTGGAATCAAGCCACTTATCTTCCCAGAATCTTATTCTTTCTCCAGTTCCTAAATGCCATCTTATGTTATGCAAAAAAGAATCTTTATGAGATAAAACAGCTTTCCAAAAGGATGAATGAGATACGCTGGAACGTAGAGATATATGATCTTGAACATAGAGATTATGAAGAAACTTGCCTGAGGAGGAATTAGAATCTAGACACTTCCATAACCATTTAGATAAAAGTGAAGAATTAAACAGGGAAATATCCTTCACACCCAGACCTCCCTCTTTTTTACTTAAGCAAACCTTCTTCCATTTAACTAAACATTTGAAGGAGGTCGCATCTGCCTTGCCTGACCATAAAAGGCTCCTTCTGATTTTGTCAATTTTCTTAATAAGCCATTTTGGTAACTTATAAAAGGACATATAATAAAGAGGGATAGATGTAAGAACTGAGTTCAAAAGAACCAGTCTACCGCCATAAGAGAGTGAATTTTTCTTCCAAGTTGACAATTTTCTATGAAGCGAGTCAATAAGAGGTTGCCAGTCTGACTTGGTTAAAAAAAAAAACTAGTACTATTAAAGTACACGGTTCTTAATGGACTAAAGTTTAATAAATTAGTAGTTATTTTTGTGGTTACATATACTTTTCGTTATACTTATGGTTACGGCTAAGGTTGCACTTTGGTTGGGTCGAGTTTAGGTTGGGGTTTATTTATGTGTTCCTCTAATTCTAATTTAATGTATTCCACATAAAATTTAACCCCCAACGAGTTAACTAAATAGTTCTCTATGGATTAATAAATTAAATCTTTATTTTATGGATAGGTTTAATCTTCGTTAATTATGACTATGGCTACGGTTTGCATTTTGGTTTGCTTGGGTTGTGCTTGGGGTTGGTTTTGGGGTCTATTTATGTATACCGCTGATTCTAATTTAATATATTTCAAAGAAAATTTAACCATGAACAACTAAACTATATAGTTCTTACTTAATTAATTATTAATAAATTAATACTTATTTTTATGGTTACTTTTTTTTGGCATTTTGCTTGCACTGTGTTTTATTTGGTTTGGGTTGTGGTTGGTTTGGGCATATATAAAACTTACACCAATTATGATATTTTTTGAAAAACTACAAAAAAAAAAAAAAAAACTGTGCCTTGCAAATCCAACATATTATATACAAAGAGAATTAAAATTTACACTTTTAAATCAGTTGTTTGTATATATGCATTGAAATATTTGTACAATCTTAAGGAAATTCTTTGTAAGCATTCTAACTTTGTTTTTAACTCTTAAATATGTGCAAGTTTTGAGGAAATACTAGGTTTTGGCCCTTTTGGGGAACCAGATCGTACACGTCCTCATTATCGTGTTGTTACGTGGTATGAAAAAAGAAATGATAAGCACAAAAATGATAAACATATTGAATTCTTAATATCTTGCAGGGAGGTACAGTCGAATTACCATTGCTTAAAAGCCACCACAGTATTTAAGCCATCTTTTGAACAATCTAGAATTTATTGATAATATACGGGCTTACAATTCTATTTTTGCGTTTTACTTCTACTGGAGGAAAGATTGGTAAAGATGTGAACAAAGGAAAATGACCTTATTTCTGGGCCCAATGAAACCTATTTGTGGGCCTAACATCAAAGCCACATCGGATTTTTTTCTTCCGTCGCTTTCTTTTCGTGGGTTTGGTTCGTTAGGGTTGAAGGGGAGAAACGGTGGTGAAAACTTCTCCACCTTAGATTTTTTCCTCTCTCCGATTTCCTTTTCCAACCGAGAAAAATTAAGGAAAACCGTGCCCGCGTCTGACAAGTGCTCTCTGGTATCAATTATATGGTATGTTTGGTTTGCTTAAAAGGCCCAAAGAAACCCATTTCTGGGCCTGACATCAATGCCACATTAGATATTTTTTTTCCGCCGCTTTTTTTTCGTAGGTTTGGTCCGTTAGGGTTGAAGGGGAGAAGCAGAGGGTAAAAACTTCTCCACCTCAGATTTTTTCCTCTCTCCGATTTCCTTCTCCAACTAAGAGAAATTGAAAAAAACCCTAGCCGTGTCTGATAAGTGCTCTTTGGTTTCTCTTGTTGATTTTTTTGGTGACGCTAGGGTTACCTCCTTGTCTCTCTCCTCCCATCAGAAATCTCCTACAATCTTCTTCGTCACTGTCTTCTTGTTCGCCGTCTTCGTCTTTCGCCTTATTCGTTAGCTTCGTCGTCGCAGAAATTGTGGCAAACTTCAAAACTTGAGATCTGAAACTGCTTCGTCACTGTCTTCTTCGTTATTGTCTTCTGAAATTGCTTCGGCGCCTGGATGTTGAGATCTGAAATTCCTCATTCTTGTGTGTTGTACATGCTAAAAATGTTAAACTATGGAATAAATATCGTTCATCGGGTCATAAATTTGCAATTTCAGATAATCAAGAATGGTAGAAGGCTAGTTAATTTCCTGTATTTCTTCAATAATTAAGAAACAACACTCAATTTGACACTCATCCTGTATCTGGTGATGCTTTAGTACGTGTTTTTGCATTTTAACCTTATTTATTGTCTAAAAGTTAAGTATTATGTTCGGTCAAAAATCAAGAATCAACAATCTTACATGTTTTAGTCTGTAAGAGTGCAGGAAGTGTTTTTATTTGTTGTAGTGTGAGCTAATTATTCTATGCACAATTTCATTATTTATAATATTTGGTATCACTACAACAGACAGGTCTTTTAGCGACCAATTTTTTTGCGAGAAAATTATTTTCCTCAACAAATAACACTTTCGACGATGAAAAAATTGTTTTCTCGGTAAATATCAGTAGGTCTTCTACGAGGAATATATTTTCCTTACAGTAGACCACCTTCTACGATGAAAATTTTAGTTCCTCACTAAAGATGATCATGATTTGGTCTCCTAACTAGTTATTTTATTGGCGAGGAAATATGAGATTTTGGTGATGAACTTTTTCATCGTGAAATGCACATTTAACGAGGAAATAATCATTTCATCGCTGTTCTTTTGGTGGAAAATAGAGGAAAACCCGCCAAATATAATAGCGATAAAGTATGATTTCCTCACTGAAGATCTATAATCTGCGAGGAACCGTTTCCTCATTAAAAGAATTAATTAGCGAGGAGATAATAGTTTCCTCATTATTAGTTTGGCGGGGGAAAAAACCCGCTAATTTCTATGGTGACAAATTTAAGGCTTCCTCGCTAAAAGTTTTTGTTTTTACGAGGAACTGTTTTCTCGTTAAAAAGAACCTATTAGCGAGGAAATTATAGTTCCCTCACTATTAATTTGGTGAAAAAATTTGCAACACCCGTCAAATTCATTGACGATAAATTAAAGGTTTCCTCGCTAAATTTTTGTTTTACAAGGAACTGTTTCCTCGTTGAAAAAAACAATTAGCGAGGAAATAATAGTTTCCTTATTATTAGTTTGGTGGAAAAATGTGCAAAACCCGCCAATTTCAATAGCAATAAATTTAAGGCTTCCTTGCTAAAAGTTTTTGTTTTACGAGGAACCGTTTTGTCGTAAAAAAGAACCTATTAACAAGAAAATTATAGTTCCCTCAATATTAATTTGGCGGAAAAATATGCAACACCCGCCAAATTCATTGACGACAAATTGAAGGTTTCCTCACTAATTTTTTTTTTTGTTTTACATGGAACCCTTTCCTCGTTAAAAGAATCAATAAATGTCCAGCACGAGGTAAAGCTCCAGTATGGATAGAAATAAGGATTTGGTTTGTCTGGTTGATGGTTCCTTTTTGTAGTTTTTTGCACAATTCACATGAAGATTAACAACCAATTAATATTTATTCAGGTTCAAAGGGATCCCAATGATAAAGGTTTACTCACAAATCTGATAAGATTTAAACAATTTGCGAGTTTTGAATATACATTTATTTTAGACTTCTGAAATTAGATTATGTTAATATATAATATTGACTTCTGAAAATAGATTAAACCAAACGTGCAGACTTCTGAAATTAGATTATGTTAATATATAATATTGACTTCTGAAAATAGATTAAACCAAACGTGCAATGAAATCTCTTATTCTATTTGGCATATAAACCAAACGTGCAATGAAATCTCTTATTCTATTTGGCATAGCACTAATACAAAATAGGACAGTCCAAATAGTTATTAGAACCGGTTGGACAAGTAAAAATATCCTAAACGATTAAACCCGTTTGGGATAATAAAACCCAAATGGTTGAAACAGTTTGGGTTGTTAGGAGATCCCAAACGTAACCTCCAAAGAGGTTTAACCGTTTGGGATGTTTAGCCCAAATGGTTTAACTCATTTAGGTGATTTAATTATTTTTCTTTTTTAAAATAAAACATTTCTTCTTCTGTGCTCTTCCGCTTCCCCCCAAAATTTCCCCCAAAATCTAAAATCCGTTCTCTGCTTCCCCCCTAAAACTTACCCCAAAATCTAAAATCCCCGCGCCCCTTATCCCCATCCCCTCAAATCCCTCATCTGAAATCCCTCTTCTCAAACCCCAATCTCTCAAATCCCTCAGCCATCTTCTTCCTCCTCCTTCGCTCCCGCCGCCGCCTCCACGTCGTCTTCATCTGCTTCGATCTCGTCGGGCTCCGCCGCTGGGTCCTAGGGTTCTGCATCATCCGCTTCAATCTCGAGCAAGGCCAGACCGTCGAGTTCTTCTTCCCACCGTACTCCTTCACCGCCGACCAGCAGCTCCTCATCGCCTTCTCCTCGTTCCCTGATTCAATGCACCAGGCCCACCACCGATCCTCGATCATCGACTCCATCTTCACCTTCAGGTTCCCGGCGAGCTCCTCCTTCGTCTACGGCTACGTCTTCAACCGTCAGATCTGAGGCAAGATTTCAACCGCCAGTGGCAAGATTTCAAATATAATTGATTCTCAAATATAATTGATTT